TTCCTCTTTGCCTCATAACTCACGTCTATAGTGCCATATAGCAAATCAATAATTATAACATGCAGGATTATCTCACCATATTGATTCGAACCACCACTTAAAGAGGCTTACATATACGGAACTAAGCGTTGATGTGATTTACATATTGATAAACACGATTACATTACAAGCTAAGAATTTGGCGCTGACGTAGTTTCTTAGGAAAATAGTATTAGGAAAATAGGTTCGTCATATTTAATAAAATGTTCTTGGTATTTACTTAAGTATGTATGTACGTATATGGTATGTATTAAAAGAGACAGACCTCGGAGTTTGATTTATTTATTTATTTAAACTGTCAAACACCAAGCGGTCACCGGTGACCGCAACCTATTGTTCTTTAATTGTGTCTATAATGACGGTACTCGATGAGTTTATTTGTTGTAGCACGCGCACAAACGCACTCATCATCAACAGCCTATAAATGCCCACTGCTGAGCAAAGCCTCTTCTCACACGGAGAAGGTTAGAGCATTAATCACCACGCTTGCTCAATGCGGGTTGGCGATTTCAAACTTATAATTAGAAATTATAAGTTCAGGTTTCCTCACGATGTTTTTCCTTCACCGTTTGTCAGTGGTGTCTAAATAATCTTAGAAAGTACATATAACTCGGAAAAAGTCACATTGGTACTTGCCGTTGGTAGGTTTCGAACCCGCACCCTCATGCATGAGAAGTGGGCGTCTTAAACCTCCGGGCCACCATGACATATATCACAAACGCACTAATCTCCAGAAATACTAGTCCGTTTTGAATAAGTCTTTTTGTGTTAGATAGTGCATTTGTCGAAGAAGGTTATAGAGGTAAAACATCACACTATGATCAATAGTAACCGGGCAGCGGGTGATACCGCGCGGCAGTAGCGTAACTAGTTCTCAAATAGAATCTTCTATTTCTGTTTTTAAATTTTGTTGTTCAATAATCAACTTTAGCCCTATTATTTTAGAATCACCTTTTACCATTTTTAAAAGGTTTGTTCTCGGAAAAAGTCGAAAGGTTTATTTAGGCAAATTAAAAAGAATGATACGCGAATGCCGCGGGGTTGACTAGACCCTTTCTTTTAAAAAAATGAAAGCTAAGAACACGGGCGACGTGAAATGACAAACATGAAAGTTGCTAACAAGGTTTTTCAGTGGTTAGTGGGTCAGTACTAAAATTTTGTTTGCGCATAAAGAATTCTATTCACTTTGTAGGAGAGAATTTTTGCTGTGCTCCAGTACCTGTGCAGGAAAAATCTGCCCCGTTTATGGTGCATAGGATTTAATTATTTAAGTGTAAAGTCACGAAGTCGTAGTTTTACTAACACGAGGTTCTGGTTAGTAAGATTATGGATAGAATTATTTTATACACGAAAACTTGGATAATCTAGTACCAAATATATGTTATATTTGGTACTTGATTTTGCTAGTCAAAGATTTGAATATTATGTGTTTTAGGCGGTAGCCATGACAGTATATTACGGTATTTAAGTGTTTAATCTTTATTCCTTAAGGTTGATTTTTGTATTTAAATTCAGTCATGTATGTGCGCATATTTCAATATGCACTTGTGTAAGTACTATGATATTTCTCAAATGTTGACATAAGCAGTATTTCTCTTTTCTGTGGACATAAGACTAGCAACAGTTATTGATTTCAGAACATTATTAACCAGGTAGTGATACAGTAATTTTATCTAATTGAAGGGTGTGTCCCGTGGTATTGTAAAATGTTAGGTTATCATCCATTTCAGAATTTTTAACGTCGACGAAAATTTTCATTAATGGTTTAACATTTCAGTCGTTGGTTTTTCAATTCACCTTGAAACCTTAAACTTGTTTGATCAAATATATAGGTTCGAAGTTTAGTTGTTATTTTGAAACAACAAATAATAATATGGTTTGATATTTTGTCTGCTGTCCTTGTTGCTTAGGTCTACTGTTCACTTTGCGTCGTTTGCCGCTTCATGGACAGTTTTCATAGTTTCTAAGCAAGATGCAAGCATTTGTCATTTGTAGGCCGCCTATAGTTTGTGAAGGATGTATACATTCGTCAAATAACGCAACGTGGACCACCTTCAATGGTTGCAAGTGATACCATTCACTTTTATGTCTGAATTCCAAGTATTCGAGTATTGACGTCCATTGAGTCTTTATTCTTAGAGAATTTTAGGCACAAAACTTATATCCTATATCTTACAGAAGATTATCGAATTGCGAAAAACATAGCCAAATCATATTCACCAGTTTTATACTGTTCTCAAAAAATAAACTTATAAGTATACGACATAAAGAAAAACTAGAATCTCCAAGAAAGTGTCAACTTCTCACATAACATGTTAGTTCGAGCATATCTATCGGAAGTTGCAACATATATCATAGTACGGTACTTCCAGTTCTTATATCCATGGGAATAAAGTTGACGTTTTATCGTCTGGCAGATTTCCTTTCAAAGAAATTGTATAAATTATTGCATGTATACAAGATTGGCTTTGGGTAGTAAATCCAAAGCTGTCGGATGGAATCGATATATTTTCTTTTTTATCACTTCTCCTATATTGGTCGGTTGTCTGAGAATGCTGATTATTGTGTGATGAACATTGGTCTTAGAATATTTTTGATTTTTTGGAAATTGTGGCTTCTTTTCTATATCGAAATAACTGTTTACGATATTTTATTTTATTTAATGGATCGGACGGTTTTGCCGCTATCTCGTAAGGTGGTAAGGTAAGGGATGATGCTGTCTACGATCCATCGTCTGCCTATAAGTAACCTATTCACTCGGGCCTTGAAGACACAGCCGGGTATTTTATCTTTTGTAAATGATTGTCCACTGCTGGACACAGGCCTCTCCAAATAGCAGTGGACGAATACAGGCTGATGATGATGATGATGATGATGACGTGATTGTATCTTTGCTGTAGATTTTGGAAATACAACTTTGAATTACTGTAAATTAAAATACTCAGAGGGTAAAATATAATAATAAATATAACTCTTACATTCGACGCCGACATGGTTATAAATACTTAAATTCTTTTATATGTTGTTCCATAACTCAGTAATGGCTTGACCGGCCATATTGAAAGTTTACATAAATGATGTGTTGCGCATAAAATTAATATTAAATGTAAATAAAAGGTGAGGTACGAATGATAATAAAAATTGCTGTGTTTTTTATGGCATAAGCCGGTAAACGAACAGACGGATCACCTGATGGTAAGCAATCGGCGTCGCCCATGGACACCTGGAACATCAGAGGCGTCACAAGTGCGTTACCAGCCTATTGGGGTCTGGGGATTAGGAGTTTGTCTGCACGGTTGGTGCGGTGGCTGGGCAACCGGCTGCAGTGCAACGTGTCGCGGGTTCGATTCCCGCACGGAACAACACTTTGTGTGATCCACAAATTGTTGTTTCGGGTCTGGGTGTCATTGTGTATGTGAACTTGTATGTTTGTAAACGCACCCACGACACAGGAGAAAATCCTAGTGTGGTGCAACGTTTTTTAAAAGAAAAAAAAAAAAAGTTTGAGGATCGTTGGGAATTCAGGGATTAGGGAGATTGGGGAAGGGAAGGGTAATTGGGCCTCTGGTAACCTCACTCACACGACGAAACACAACGCAAGTGTTGCTTCACGTCGGTTTTCTGTGAGGCCGTGGTATCACTCCGGTCGAGCCGGCCCATTCGTGCCGAAGCATGGCTCTCCCACACTGAAATAAATGGTTGATAACAAATTTTTTGTTGAACGATTTTGGTTTTTTTTGAAACCGTGTTGTGTGTGTGGTTACGGATATAAATTGTTCGAAAACAAATAGAGAGGATTCAGTTTTGTTAAAATGTTTTTCATGTCCCGTTTTTATTTTGAATCAATCTTGTGTCTCGGTTTGTTTTTGGGATTAATTGAATTGCCGCACACTAGGAATTTGTCATGTGCCGTAGGTACTTTTATAAATATACAATCTTATATGTTACATAATAATATCCAGACTTATCCGAAACAACATTTTTGAATCACACTTTTTTTAAGGGGGGAAAATCATCGAATGACTTCTCCTGCCTCAGTGAGGCGGGAGGGAGTGTCAGACTCTTACTGACTACAAACCACCACGTTCCTACTCCTGCACTTCGAGCCGGAGCTCCGGCAACCTGTTTTCTGCGGCTCCGTATCGGCATCAGCCCTGTTTGGGCCCCATCTGTGGTTGTCTGATGGCTCTTTGAGGCGTGTGCGGAATGCGATGCGCCGCACGCTGCATTAAGAATTGCTTCGTGAGAGAAACGAACCCGCTGTACGTTACACGGTAGCCGGTTGCCCAGCCACCGCACCAACCGTGCAGTCCCTATTAATTATACTAATAGTATTAACGTGAAAGTTTGTTAAGATGTCTGTAAATATGTTTGTTGCTCTTTCACGCAAAAATCCTAATTGAGATTTGATTAAACTTGTCACAGAAATAGATTATACCTATGTTTATATTATAACTTTTGTGAGACATACTAAATTAATTATTATGTTTTTCTGTGTCTTGTAACTGTTTGACGAGGAACTCGACTAGTTTCAAGCTATGCTGGGGGCTCATATTTATAAGCAATATTCCGCGACACGACGTCGTGGCGATTATCGCGCTGCTACTGATGCGAAAATGTGGCTTAGTAAAGTGCTATTGGTGAGACTGACCATGATTAGCTACTTTCACCCGCTCTGCTCAGCTACCTTCGTACCTTCCTCCTTAAATGGACTATCCTTCACAAACATTTTTTTTCAAATTTGACCAGTACTTTCTGAGATAAGCGCGTTCAAATAAAGAAACAAACAAACAAACTTTTCATACCATTTCATAAATGTTTTTCTTTCTTTCTCTCTTTCTTTTCATGTATAGTATAAGATAATATATTATACGTATTATAAGTCTCATGTAATGTAATCAAGAATGAGCCTAATGTAATTAATGAACGTATTAATCAATTTTTATTTTCATTATTTCCAGATTGATACCGGATTGCAAAGGAAAGGGTCTCTGATTAATAAGTAAGTTATTAATAATAATATATTAATTTCAAGACATATGCCTATATTCACCCACCTCTCTTCAATTTAATTTGAAGAACCCCTAAACTAAGATAAGTGAAACTGAACAGTACAAGTAAAGGGTAAGTAAATTTATTTCTGGAAATAGACTACAAGGCCGCACTTTTGGACTTCAATTTTATCAAGCGAACTTTGAATAAAAATGCCGAAGTAAACTCAGAGCACCGTCTTATTTAAAGTCCAGATAAATATGCATAAACGATAAATGTGAGAACCGTGCAAGTTCATTCTGTAGTGGCCTTTTGAGGAAAGAACCACAACAGATTGAGTGGACTTGTTCTGATGGCAGTACGCATGTGTCGGTTTACAATCAGCTCAATTAACAGGTGAGGCTGACTGATCCGGTGAAGAATACTAATTAAAAAAACATTGGGGCAGGTCGCACCAACACTCAATCTGTCAGAATATGGGTAATTAGAAGAGAAATAGCGAGGCAAAGTCTTGCACGGTCCTTGCACTAACAATTGGGTAATTTTCTTAACCAAAAATAAATTATTTCGACTGTTCAATAAATTAACATATTAAAAAATTATGATATTTTCATTAATTGATTTTATGACCAACTTAATTTTAGTATTTTTCCAGCATTTTTTAAGAAATAAGTACGCTGTTTGACGCTAAAAAACGTGACGTCACAATATACAATCTCGTACAAAATTCATAGAAAACTGTCGTTTTTGACAGTTCGAAAAAAGTATTGAATTTGACTAGGTAGCAATTACCCAATTGTAAAAAAAATTAAATCTAAATGTAAATATGTAATCCAAAAACGAATTCTGTCATTAAGTTTGTGCAAGCCAAACACATGAAACGTTGATTTATTCTACGATGATAAATTGTTTAAATATCCGACGTACTTAGGTACAGAGAGACACAAAAGCGTTTTCGAAAGGGTTACTTATTTTTACCACAGAATTTGATTTATTAATTTTACGAGACGTGATTTTTTTTTATGAGATAAACCGGTACACAAGCTGATGGATCGCCTGATGGTAAGCAATCGCCTATGGGCCCCCGAAACAGAGGTGTTACAAATGCGTTGTCGGTCTTTTGGGGGTTAGGAATTTGAGGATTGTTGGGGAATCGAAGAATTGGGGAGTTTTGGGAAGGGGTTGATTGGGCCTCCGGTAACCTCAGTCACACGACGGGACACAAAGCGAACACGTCGATTTTCCAGTGAGGCCGTGGTAACAGTCCGGTTGAGTCGGCCCATTCGTGCCGAAGCATTGGCTCTCCCACTTATTTTCTTTTTAAATCCCTTTAGAAAATGACATAAGTACCTCGTTTGAGTTTTATCTCAGATGTCTATACCTCTTCTAATTTTCCGAAGAGGTTGGTGTGCATTTATGGATATAACACCAACTTTTGGATAGATTTATAATTAAAAGCCGTACCATACAACGTTGCTACCATCCGTGCGTCACTGCATGGGTGCCCACTGAAAATCAGTGCTGGGTGACTTGTATGCCTGGCTTACACTGAGTGGGTGACCCTTTTAGCATAAGCATGTTGTCAGCGTCTCTCTTCAAATTCTTCTGTTTAAATTTTTCAACTCAATGTTTTTATTACTTCCACTGTCACAACTTTATTGTCTTTTATAGATTTTATTTATGCTGCATCGTGCCTAGTGCTGAATGAATGTTTTTTCTTTCTTTCTTTTTTTTACCGATAGTTTTAGACTAAGAACGTAATAATATTGAAAATACCCTGAGGCACACTAATATTACAAATATAAAAGTTTCTTTGTTTGCATGTTTATCCGTCTATCACGGTGAAATTGACGAACGGATTTTGAAGAAATTTGGTACATAGGCAGGGTATGCGCTGACTTAGGTGATAGGATTATGAGCATCTAATTTTTATCCCGATTAAATGCTCCTATGGGATGAAACAGGTATACGCGAGCGAAACCGCGAGAAAAAGCTAGAAGAAAATAAATTCCAAAATTATGTTTTTGTACCCTATGAAATAATACTATGTTAATTTTTTCATGATATCTACTGCCCAACAGTATTAGAATAAAAACGTTAACAAAAATGTAGTTCTTACTTAGTTAATGGCTACTATTAGGAGTATTAACTCGAAATTTTAGTAAGTAAAGCTTAGCTACTATTAATCTAGTGTCTGAAGCATTTGATCTCAAAATCCAATTACTTTGAACGAATTAATACAATGTTTTCTAGACAAAGTACATACTTTTACTGTTTGTCTTTTTCTCGTTTTATTTGTTACTCAAAATCTAGGCCATTTGTTTCAATTAGACACTACAGTGCTTTTGAAAATCAGTACAACTATGTCAGTAATTTCATTTCAAAATGTTGCCAAGAAGAATAAGGTTAAATATATAAACAGAGTCTTCTTGATGTTCTAATATTGAACATATTGTAATATAAGACTTCATGACTGGCGCACAAGGTCTCATTTACTATGAACCTTGGACTAGTTTTGAGTTATCCTAGCTAGTTAAATCACAATATTAAGAGTTACTATGTGATATTCATCTGCTGGACTATTCTTTTTTCTTTCTATGGGTCTTCTTTTAGATAAAAAGGGTTTGCCATAACCTCCACGTTTGGTAGACAGGTTGGAAATTGTAGTTTAAAAGGTTCGGGTTTCAAAGAGCGCTGCTGCATGTCAAATTTGCAGTTAGTCAGAACTTCGAGAACCGCAAGAAGACGGCAACAAGCATGTTATATATTTTTAATACAAATGTATTTAATTTTATAACCGACACAAAAAAAGCAATTTCTCAGTTTGACCTGCATATATGTATGTATGTATGATTATCTCACGATTGGCAGAACTGATTTTAATGCGGTTTTCAGAAAAGTGTTTGTTACGAATAGGGCCCAATAGGGCTGATACCGATTCGGAGCTGCGGAAAACCTAACGGGTTACCGAGGCTCCGGCTCGAAGTGCAGGAGTAGGAACGGGGTGGTTTTAGTTAGTAAGAGTCTGACACTCCCTTCCGCCTCACCCAGGCGGGAGCAGTCATTCGTTGATTTTCCACCCATAAAAAATACTTAAGAGAAAGTTTGAATATAAATGAACTAAATTAATAAAGAGGGTCCTGAAGTCGGATTTATTGAACGTAGTTTTTAATTAATAATATTTTTAAACATTTTTGTCATGAACTGTACAGCAACATATTCGAGCGAGTTTTCGTGGGCAAACTCGTAAAGGGGCCGGTACCATTAGCAGATTTCACTTATATTACGGGTTTCTTTAAAAAGCCTGCAACTGAGAGGTTCTTAAGATAATCACTCTAAGCTTTGTGTAAAGTTTATTTTTGAGAAAATTCACGCTGCGGTGCTGTCGAGCTGTGTACTCTGCGGTGGTATTAAATCGCATGATGATGCTTTTCAGGTTTTAATTACTGGAGTTAGTTTGTTGACTGCCTCGTTGGCCGAGTGGTCGCAAGTGCGACTGCCGGGCAAGGGGTCTCGGGTTCGATTCCCGGGTCGGGCAAACTATTACTGGGTAGCACGGAGTCTGGAATTGTGCCCGGTATATGGCAATAGGCTCACCCCCTATTACATGGGACTCATAACATAAATAGTGAAAGTGGCGAAAGTGAAAGCGGCATAATGTGCACCTCTGCCTCCCCCTTCGGGGATAAAAGGCGTAATGTTATGTTATGTTAGCTAGTACTTATATGCTGAGAAGTAGTTCTCTTGATGAAGCGAAAGAGTTCGTTCCATAGTTTATGCCTACTCCCATGGGAGACAGGCGTGATGTTATGTTTGTATGTATGCAAGTAGTTCTATATGCTAATATGCCCATGGTTATGATTGTCAAAAATGAAAGGTTACTTATGGGTCGACGTGCTTCTTCGTAGACCGCATCGTAGCTTACCTACCGCCAGGCGAGATAGTGGTCAAACGCCCATCAAATATATATATATATATCGGATAATCGTTCGTGACCATGTCTACGACATTGCTGCCCAGCTCCTTAATCATAAGTCATAACGATAGATTGCTTTGTTTATTTTAAGTTCTCACTCAATTGTACAGGTGACGTGATCATCAGTATGCTTACCAAATAGTTCTTAGTTTTATTATAGAGGGCGTTGTCTTGTTACTTATTAGAAGACGTTAATTCGTATGTTTGGAATGTGACACGTGTCGTGTCAGCATTGGTAAGACAAAAACAGTTAGGGGACGCGATGCTTGCAAAGAGAAAGCGGTTTTTTTAGTGACGCTATAGGACCCCGCCGATACAGGAGGACATTCCTTTGTGGGACGTCGTTACGCGATCACGCTCATCTCTTTAGATAATTCTAAATGTTAAACAAGTGTAATATTAGCATCTTTTGTAAAAAGCTTACATTACTTTACTGACTGTTATCAATACAT